CATCCAGATAAAGAAAACAACAGTCTTTCTGGTTACTTGGAATACTTCTGTTGATAGTTTGTTTACAAAAATGGGAGAGAGAAAAATAAAAGGCATTTCAGTGTAGCAGAGGACTTTGTGTTTTTGAAAGAGAGATCCATGCTACCATGACTTACATAATCTATTTTGTTTTCTATCTTTATTGAAGGACCTTCAGAGATGTACATTCCCGTGTGTAAATGTAGGGGATCTAAAACCATTCTCTGTGATTGTTTGGGTTGTTAATCTCTCCAGGGTTTCCTCTACATTCTGAATGGTAGTTTCTGGCACCAAAGGGAAAATGGAGATGTTGAGATGCAATTTTATCTCCCAATTGAACTTGATTAAATGGGGATGGTTCTAATCAAAACTTTTAATCCTGAGGGAGTGCAATGTTGTTAGCAGGTTTGAGACTATTTGAGAAGACCAGAGAGAAAGAGTAGTAAAGTTAAGGCAGAGAAAGAGTCAGGCAGGAAAATAATTGTAGTAAAGTTTATTAAGGCATAAAATTAGGTGGACAAATTGTTTCACAGATAGTGTTAGGCTTAATGCTAGACTGGCAAAGGAAATGGAAGAAAGCTCTTTGAAAACATTATTACTTATTATTTTAATAATTTGTGTAGGAATCATAGTAGCTGCAATCTGTTAGCCAGAAACAATTGCCAGCTGGTGTCATCGTGCAGTAACTATCCTAGACTGAATGCAAACATGTTTTTCCTTTTTACCTGGATGGCATTCAATTTTAGAAAGTTTCTATTCATTTCTGCCTGAATATGAGGTCTGCCCCTGTAAGATAAGAAAGCCTGTTTATTGAGTTGATTTGAGAGCTTTGATTAGGTTCACAACAAGTTCTACAACCTTAATAGGGAGACTACACCTGGGACAGAGGGTGTTTATACAACCAAAGTCACCCATCTTTGTAAATACGTGCCTGACTTACCTGTGAAATTGCCTTAATTCTATGCATTGCTTCTCTTGTGGTCACCTCAAGGAGATGGTAGACACCCAATCCTCTGGGATAATATTCTTTGAAAAGGGTTTAAGGTTGCATTTATTTACTAAAACCTAGAATTTTGAAAGTGCCATGGGCTGTGTTGGAAGAAGTGCAGCCAGAGTGCTCCTTGGAGACCAGGATGGCCAAATGTCATCTCTCATACTTCGGACATATTGTCAGGAAGGACCAGTAGCTGGAGAAGGATATCATGTTTGGTAGGGTGAAGGGTCAGAGAAAAAGAGGAAGAAGACCCCCAACGAGATGGATTGGCAAAGTGGCAGCATCAATGGGCTCAAGTGTGGCAATAGCAGTGAGGTTGGCCCAGGACCAGGCAGTGTTTCATTCTGTTGTACGTAGGGTCACTATGAGTCGGTATCGACTGGACGGCACTTAACAACAACAACAACACTCTGTCCTGGTGTGGCGCTGTGGCCTAATGCGTCAGACTGCAAAGTCCTTTGAACTGCAAGAATGGCTGTTCAAGCTCACCATCTGCTCTTTGTAAACCCTATCCAGGGTCGCTATGGGTCGGAATCGACTCGACAGCACTTAACAGCACCACCACCACCACCAGTCTGTTAAAGGACTATAGTGTCTATGAGTTAGGCTGCTAACAGCAAGGTCAGCAGTTTGAAACTACCAGCTGTTCCGTAGGAGAAAGATGAGGCTTTCTATTCCTGCATAGACAGCCTTGGAAACCCTCTACAGGGTCACTATGAGTCAGAACCGACTCCATGGTGCAATACCACCACCACAATTTGTTACCAACATAGCTGTTTAACACTTTCTTTGGAAACTCTACTGAATAATTTGACTGGTAACAATGAGATGACTATTTGAAGATCATTATTGTTTTCCTCCTGGGAACTCTGGTGGCAATGTGGGTTAAGTTTTGGGTGCTAACCTCAAGAGCAGCACTTCAAACCCATCATCTGCTCCTTCAAACCCAGCAGCCACTCCTTGGGAGAAACATGAGGCTCTCTGCTTGCACAAGGATCTGGAAGCTCACAGATTAGGTGTCAAATTATTGCAGGATGTAGAGATTGCTCAGTTTTGCCCAGAAAGCCAGAGGAGACGGAAAATAACTTAATTGTTTTAATGAAAGTCCATCATCTCTTTCTGCTTCTTGATTATGAAGTTCTCAAGGGAGGAAAGAGAGGAATTATGGGCTGTTTTTGATGTTCATTGGATTGCTTCAGTGGTGATTTGGATGTATTTCATGGATGTTAGTGGTTTCTGGTTCTAGCTCCTTTCCTTTGGATTTGGATTCCTCATTTCTGAAATGGGACACTCTCCTTTGTCCTATCTCCTTAGAGTGCTATGCTAAGGACCAAATGAGACAATGACTTTCTAGCCACTTTACACTATTCAGATTACCACTGGCACTAAGATCACCCATTTGAGTAGCTAACAAGATTATATTTGTCCATGCAATATCAAAATATTGATTTTATAGAAAGTGAGAAACTTCTCAAACAAGTTAGTATAAAGATATAATGAAGTTCTACTTGGCTAAGGCAAAGATTTATTGTTGGTGTTCTTTTTATTTTATTTTTTAAAAATAAGTAACACAATTACCATATGCAGTAAATAACTGTGGGATTTTATTTGGTGTTCTATTAAAATTTCTTGCTCTGAAAAGAAGTGTAATGCCATCAATAGGATTGTAAACTTAAGTGTGACAGAGAAAAACTAGACTTGAATAAGTATTAAAGAAGCTGATTCATATAATCCACCACCTTTCTTCCTAACAATATAGGTTCAAAGGAAAGACACTGTTTTGTGGTTGTTTATGGAGTTGAAAACAGAGGAAAGGAAACAAAGGGGGGAAAGCTATGTTGAGAAGAATGTAATTTGTCTAGAACAATAAAACTAACTCTCTATGGGGAGGATTTAGTATCCCTGAAAGAGGCCAGGATCTTAACTGATGGCTGCAAAGGTCAGTACAGGGTACCCGGATGAGACCGGTACTGCTTGGATCTGTAAACTGATGAGATGGGAAGGTTGACTGCTATCAAGGCATGGAGTGAAAGTTAGGGTGGACTGGGCAGGATAAACAGGAAGACAAGTTGGCCAGGGTCAGGGAATCACACTGCCGTGTTCTACACGCTGAACACATCTTCAGTCTCCACTGGGAAAATCCGTTAGACAAGTTAAGGGACTGTCTGGCGCAGTTAACTCCAATTTGACTGAACGTTCATTATCTGAAAGCAGAAATAGTTATTAAACAAATACACGTATTTGGTTCTGAGATAAATGTAACATTTAGATGCTTTAAAGTTTTCAGAAACACCTGCACACAGACTTGAGCGTGTCAAACGTATGACACACAAGTATGTGCAGATCTTCCACACTGAAGAGAGTAGGAGAGTCCAGCACAATTTGGGGCTCAATTCATATTGTTGTTGTTAAGTGCCTGTATTGGGTTTCCGATGAGCAGCTGGCGAGCTTGAACCGCTAACTTGGCGGTTCAAATCTACTTTGTAGTCCAGCGCATTAACCCACAGAGCCACACCAGGACTCCAATTCATATTAGTAGAATAACTTTTAGGAGGTGACCCCTAAATTCCCCTTACCTTCTAAAAACTGCATGGTTGTGGGCTGGTCTGTCTAGTGCTGTAAGGAAAGAAATGTGCGTTAAATACCTAGCCTAATACACAACAGGAGCACAATGGATAATTGATGGATAGATGCTGGTTGAATAAAGTTGTAGAGTTGGATATATCAAGTTTTATAGCTAAGAAAAGAACTGGGGAAACAAACAAAAAACAAAAACAAAACGAATACCAGACAAAATGTCTTTACTAGAAATTAAAAGCAGTCTGGAGATAATTTCCCCTGCAGAGGAGGGGCCAGTCAACCCATGTGAAGTCTGGTCTGGATCTCCCGGGCAGTGTGCAGGTGTTCTCTCCAAAATAGGCCGGCCAGGCTCTGTCCACTCTCATATAGAGAAACCTGCCTGCTTAGAGGTCTCGGATCAGCGCCAGCGACTATCTTCCAGGCCTCTTTACACCCAACATTTTCCTGGATCCCAAATCTCTCCTTACTTTAGGCTGAAGGGATTCCCACCCCCCAGCTGCCTCTTCCAAGCCCAGCGGAGTAGCGGACTCCTCCCCTGGAAACTCCTCCGGGACTGGAGAAGGATTTGGCGCATGCTCCGTACCTAGGGCAGGTTTTTTTTTTTTTTTTTTTTTTTGCTGCGGGTAGCTGGGCTCCTGTCACACCGGCTGGCGGGTTGTGGCGGCGCCAGCCTGTGTGTGCAAGTGTGTCTGCGTGCCTGCGCCTGGGCGGACAGACCAGGAACAGCAGTGCGACTCGTCCGGAGAGGCGGCTCCGCAGAGGCGCCTCGCCCGCTCCCGCTTCGGGGGCTGCTCTGCAAACTTGCGGCGGGCGCCGTCTGCCCTCGTGGCTCCCGCGCCCCGCGCCTCCCGACCGACCTACGGGCAAAGGCGCCGGGCGCGCGTGAGAGGCGGAGTGTCCGCGGCCGGCCGGGGCGGAGGGACCCGGGGTCGCGCTGTCGCCCTTCTCCGGAGTCTTGGGGAGCCTCATGAAGCCCCAGCGCTCGCGTCCGCAGATGCTCGGCTGTTTCGCTGCCCGGGGTAGGTCCAGGACCCGAGCTCCGCTCCGCAGCGCCTGAGAGCCTGAGAGGCGGCGGCGGCGGGATGTTCTGCGCTGCCTGAGATCGCCGCGCCGCGCCCAGGCGGGAGCACAGAGCGGGCAGAGCTGGGTGCCCCCAGGAGCTCAGGGCGCCCCACGCCGCAGCCGCAGCCGCGCGCATCGGCGCCCGCCTCCCCAGCTCCCCTCGCAGGCCCCGGCTGTGCTAGCCCCGGAGTGCCGCGGGGCCGCCAGCCAGCCGCACGCCTCGGCGTCAGGGGCATGGAGGAGCGGCGGGCTCCAAGCCGCTCCCCGGAGTCCCCGAAACTTCCGTGCGGGCGCCCGTCTGCGCCGCTGCCGCCGCCGCTTCGCCTGTCGGCCTGAGAGCGGGACCATGGATGAAAGGTTCAACAAGTGGCTGCTGACGCCGGTGCTCACTCTCCTCTTCGTGGTCATCATGTACCAGTACGTGTCCCCCTCCTGCACCAGCTCCTGCACCAACTTCGGGGACCAGCCCCGCGCGGGGGAGGCCGGCCCGCCAGCCGCTGCTGCCGCCCCGAATCCCGCCCGCCGGGCACAGGCGCCGCTCGAGGAGTGGGAGCGGCGACCCCAGCTGCCCCCGCCGCCCCGGGGACCGCCCGAGGAGCCTCGGGGGGCCGTGGCGCCTGAAGAGGAGGATGAGGAGCCGGGAGACCTGGAGGAGGAAGAAGAGGAGGAAGAGGAGGAGCCGGACCCTGAGGCCCCGGAGAACGGCTCTTTGCCCCGCTTCGTGCCTCGTTTCAACTTCACCCTGAAGGATCTGACCCGCTTCGTGGACTTCAACATCAAAGGGCGCGACGTGATCGTGTTTCTGCATATCCAGAAGACTGGGGGCACGACGTTCGGCCGGCACCTGGTGAAGAACATCCGGCTGGAGCAGCCATGTAGCTGCAAAGCGGGTCAGAAGAAGTGCACATGCCACCGGCCAGGCAAGAAGGAGACGTGGCTCTTCTCCCGATTCTCCACGGGCTGGAGTTGCGGGCTGCATGCCGACTGGACGGAGCTCACCAACTGTGTGCCGGCCATCATGGAGAAGAAGGACTGTCCCCGTAACCACAGCCACACCAGGTACTGTTCTCGCTTCGTCTCGCTACCTGCCACCCCCTCGTCCCACTCCCGGAGTCCCACTCCCGGAGTCCTGACCCTCGGGCTGCCCCTTACTCCCTGGGCGTCCAGATGGTCCCCTGACATCTTCCAGCGGTTGGGGCAGAGGCTTTGGAGAAGGCTAAGAAACCTCTGGGTAGAGCTATGGTCTTGAACTCGCTCCTTTCCCAATCCCCACTGCTTTCTGCCACCCCGTTTCACCATCACAGGTGCCCACAGCCACAGCCGGGGTGCCTTCCTTTCCTGGTGCTTAGCACAGTGCTAGAGTCCTGGTGTAGAGCTGTAGACTAAGTACTAGACTGTAATCGCAAGGCCAGCGGTTCTAATCCCTCAGCTGCACCTTGGGAACCCTATGAGAGGGCCCCTGGGAGTTGGATCCAACTCATGGCACTTAGCAGTATTGCTTCATTCCAGCCCTCCAAACCTCAGAGGTGCAGCTAGGTTTGATGTTAGCAGTGTGATTAACTCATTGTGTCACTGCGCCCCCTTCCCCATACCAAGCCATACCGAATCCTCAGTAATGTTTATTATCAATTTTAATTATAGAATAAAGTGATAAGTATAGTTGTAAATGGATTCAATGTAATATTTTTGGGGGTTCTATGACTACTAACCACCAAAGCTTAAAACAACAACAACCCAACTTTCTACAGTGAATTACTTTATTGTTGTTGTTGTTATTGTTGTGTGCCATCGAGTCGGTTCCGACCCATAGCGACCCTGTATAGGGTTTCCGAGGGTGTAAATGTTTACGGGAGTAGAAAGCCTCATCTTTCTCCCGCGGAGCAGCTGGTAGTTTCGAACCGCTGACCTTAAGGTTCGCAGCCCGATTCGTAACCACTACGCTACCAGAGCTCCTTGAATTACTTTATTAGATACAACATTATTAATAACTAAGGGAAGTCTTTTGGTTTTCCTCCTTTTTCTATTGCTACTTCATTCTCAAAAAAGTTATTGTTATAGCTTCCCAACTGATAACTACTTACCACAATAAGAAAATCAGCCCACTTTCAGCGGCTATAAAAACATACAACAGCAAGGAAACCAACAGCAAGTGCCGATAGTGTTTGCGGATTAAAACCACATGACTGGAAGCAGCATTATAATTGGGTAATAATGACACATCTGACCAGAGTATATGGTTGTTGTTAGGTGCTGTTGAGTCAGTTCTGACTCTTAGGAACCTTGTATAGGGTTTCCAAAGAGTGGCTGGTAGGTTTGAACCACCAACCTTGTGGCTAGCACTCTACTGCTAATCCTACAGCACCATACCAGGACTCTTAGAAGGTTCAAAAAGTAAATTAGCATAATTTTAGCCTTATAGGTAAATTGATACGTGCAATTGTGTTTACAAAAAAAGTGTATTTGTTGTTATAACAATCTACAGGGATTTTTAAAAAATAAAAAACAGATTTCTGCTGAAACACCGCACAAAAATTTCTTAGACCTTCATTTTGGTGTCACCCCGTCTGACCGTGTCACCCGGTGTGATTCATACCCATGTAGTGATGCCACCGGAATGCCTTGTGGTTGGGCCTGGACAGGAGGGTCTGAGTTAAACCAGTGAAGTTGACTTGTACTTGTGTTTTGTGAGTGGAAACCCAACACTTGGAGCAGGATGGCTGGCCATAGGCAGGTGGATCTGGGAGTAGAGGGGCTAAGGAAAGCGTTTTCCAGACTTGGTGAAGTTGGAGATGAGTATAATCTCTTGATAAGTGGCTTTTGGATGTCTGCTGGCCAGCTCAGGAAAATTATCTTTATGTAGCTTTGAAGATATATGTTCAAATCCCTGCTCTACTTAGATAACCCTGGAGAGGATGGTTTTTGATGCCGAGCAGTGCCTGGATTCAGCAAGCTTTCCATTATACTCTTAGGCCACACACCATCAACTCATTCTGGAAGTATCTTTCAAAGGTCTACTGTGTGCCTGGGGTGTGCTAAATGCTAAATGGATACAGAGATATAATCGACTGGAGAGTCCGTCCTTTCAACATGGATTGGTTTTATACTTGCTCTCGTCTCTCTCTCTTTTTTTTAAAACAGTAATACTGCTGAGAATTAGGAAAGTTTGAAATCTTAATAGCCAATGAAACTGCTTTCATTATTAACATCCTTTGAGAGAGACATGGTCTTAAGAATTTGGTTGAATGTTCTTTCTGCCCATTACAATTTGAAAATTAATCTGACATGATTGCTCATGGGACTAAAATATTAAAAGCTTGGAACACTAGTTTATTGAAGTTTTTATCTCAAAGGTTTCAAACAATTTGGTGTGAGGAAATAGGAATTTAAAAACTCAAGCTCAATATGTTGATATCAGATAGCTTTTGCATTTGACATTATGGAAAAGCTTCATTTACTGGAAACTACCCAGATTCTAGAATTTACTGCCACTGAAGCATCTAATTCTACGTTGTTTCTCCAAGAATGAACAAAATTTCATTATGTGATTTTTTACTCTGGCAGTTTTACAAATACTTTATTTCCTCTCTGCTCCTTTCCCTGTTTAATAGAAATTGGTTCGATTAGGAAGCTGGGTGGTGTTGGAATGAAGGCCTTGGGCTTCTTCTTTAGTGGATATTAAAGATCTTATGCTTTTTAAGGAGCTTTGTTGGCACAGTAGTTAAAGCCGTCACCTGCTAACCAAAATAGGTCAGCTGTTCGAACCCAGCTGGCGGCTCTGCAGGAAAAAGATACAGCAGCCCTCATCCATAAAAATTTGGAAACCCCATGGGGTAATTCTGCTCTGCCCTATAGGGTCACTTGGTTTGGGTTAGCTTTAAAGATTCCCATGTGGTGCTGCCGGGTAAGCACTGGCCTGCTAACCACAAGGTCATTGGTTCAAACCGACCAGCTTCTCCTCAGAAACCCTGTACAGGGTTGCTATGAGTTGGAACCAGTTCAGTGGCACTTGGCAACAACAATTATGTATTATTTTAGATTCTACCACTCCATTTTAGCATAAAACTTAGTTTTTCAATTAAGTATAACTTCCAGACTTTCTAACAAATCTAAAAGACGATCTATCATTCATCAGTGTACTCTTTGTATTTATTTCATTCAACAGTGTACTTTTTTGTATTTAGACTTACGTATTAATTACTGAATCACCTCAAAGAATTTGTCAGTGTGCTTCTCACCTTCTGTTAAAGACTGGAAACATTGATGATTATATAGAAACTTCAAAAGACTTTTCAGTGGGGAAGTGTAGGTGATGGCAGCATTATTTTCTACCAGTTGACATGTAAGTCTTGCAAATACATGAAGATTTGGGGGAATTAGAGTAGGACATGGATTCTGTAAAATGGTTGGATTTTTCTTAATGATGAAATTAACTACTTCTACATAAATTACAAGCAGAAATGTTTCACATCTACAGTAAATATTTAATATTTCTCTACATTGTGATCTAAAAAATGTCCCTATTGGCTACTTAAGCATATGGTTTCTATTGCACAAATTATTTTCTTTGTTTAGTTATAGATCATGGACATTCTTTATCCTTGAATCACAAGTTTGCCTTAAAACAATTGTGGTAGTATTGTTTTGCAGTGTATTTTAGAATCCCTTATCCTTTTCCTACTTAGCTTGTCTCCCCTTCTCAATAATTATCAATTATTTTTCTTCTTTAGCTACTGTAGGAAGGAATAGTTCTGGTTTTATGTGAGCTGTTCTGCATTGAAAGCTAAATGAAAAAAGTTGAAGAAATGTTAACAGTAGAATCTTCTAGCACAGAAGATTGGATTAGTGGTCTGTCATTGTAATGTCTCTGTATAGCATTCTACAGTCAACTAGATTAGCCTGGATGATGGAGGATACATTGCCACAATGCAAAATGGCAGATAATCTATTGCCACATAATGGGAACAAGGGTCTACTTCAAATCGGGCTGACTTTAAGCAAAATTGTGATGTACAGACAGTCCCGAGGTTACAGAACTTGACTTCTGTACAGGCTGTAATTACAAACCAACCCTTATGTTGTGCTGTTGTTGTTAGGTGTCCTCACGTCAGTTCTGACTCATAGTGACCCAGTGTAGGACAGAAGGACACACTGCTCTGGCCTTTGACAGCTGCCTAATAATTGTTCTGCGTGAGCCCATTGGTGTAGCTGGTTTGTCAGTCAACATTGTTGAAGGGTTTTCTTTTTTGCTGACCCTCCCATTTTACTGAGCATAATGTTCTTTTCTAGGGACTATTGTTAAGTGCTGCTGAATTGGTTCCAACTCCTAGTGACTTGAAGGTTTCCGAGAAGCCACTGGTGAGTGTGAACCACTGACCTTGTGGTTCAATGCTTACCCTATAGCCAGCCCCACACCAGGCACTAGTACCTCTTAGTAACACGACCAGTTGATGTGAGAAGTCTCATTATCCTTACGTCTGAGCAACCTTTACAAAATCAAGGTGCATACAATAGTTTATATTAATAAAGGGGTGCTACTGGTAGCGTAGTGGTTACGAATTGGGCTGTGAACCTTAAGGTCAGAAGTTCGAAACTACCAGCTGCTCTGCGGGAGAAAGATGAGGCTTTCTGCTCCTGTAAATATTTACAGCCTCGGAAATCCTGTATAGGGTCGCTATGGGTCGGAACCGACTCATCGGCACTTAACAACAACAACTTAGCAAAGCGTATCAAAACAATTTTAATTGCTTTATTATATAAAAGATGTTTTAATGTATCTGGCTGTGTTCCTTTAATGCTTTTTTATACATAGAATGATGCACTATATACTAAGACAAACATTTTCTAAATGATATTAGTTACAAACCGTATCTAACTGTTCCAATTTATGTACAGATTCGACTTAAAGGAAGGCAGTTTGCTCCTAATCCAGGAACTGCCTGTCAGTTATGTTGATTTTGGTTCCGTAGTCTCTTTGCTTTTGACTCTAGTCCTCTCTTTCACCATTACCCAGGGATCAGTAACCGTATAGATCACTTAATGGGTAAGAACAAAGATTCTGG